AGAAAGAAAGAAAGAAAGAAAGAAAGAAAGAAAGAAAGAAAGAAAGAAAGAAAGAAAGAAAGAAAGATTAGATAGATAGATATAGATTTGAAGGTACATGTCCTTTTTAGTTTGGCATTATAGCTTCATCGTTCCCAGGGAAATTTTGAAGGTAGCAATGTTTATTACTTTTAGAAGGGGAGAGTGGAATTTATCATCATCACCATTATTTTGCTTTGACTGACCATTTCAAAATCAGACATTAAAAGGAAGGTCTATTTAGAAGGTGTTGTTTTCCCAGCTTATCTCTGAAAGTGGCATCACAAGAATGGAAAAGAACATTCTCAAAGACATGACTCAAATGTTGCACCTCTGTAGGATTAAATGTTTGAAGAAGGATCTTGGGGAATGCCTAAGGTTTGCCCCTGGCCACCTCCTCTCGAATGTTCAGGATTGCTATTGGCTGCTTGGATGAGCATCATCTGCAGCTCAACAGGCAGAAGACCTCTCCGATGAATAAACCCAACTTATCCAGAATGTCAAGCTGCTTTCCCAAGCAAGTAAAAATTCCTAGCGTTAATTCCAAAGATGTTTGGGGGAAAAAAAATAGTTTCACGGCCTCCTGCCAATAGAAGGGATCGTGTATTTCAACGGCTCCTCTTGCAAACTTAATTCCCCTACAGGTGATCCTTGACTTATGACCACAATAGAGCCCCAAATTCCTCTTGTTAAGTGAGACATTTGTTAGGAAGGTTTTGCCCCACAGTTGTTAAGCAAATCATCACAGTTGAGAAGTTAGTAACCCGGTTGTTAAGCGAATCAGGCTTTTCCCTTTGAATTTGCTTGTGGGAAGATCGCAAAAGGGGATCACATCACGTGACCTTGGGACGCAGCTGTGGTCATAAGTGTTATGCCCCTGGTGGAGACTGAATCTGAGGGAGAAGAGGAACAGACGACAGGGAGTGGAAATGTGGCTCCGGAGGTTGTAGAGGAGGCTGGGGAAGGGCAGAGGCCGGCTGGGCAGTCAGAGGAGGACCCAGGCCCATCCCCTCTCCATCCTAGGCCATACAGGAGGGGAGAGGATAAGGGAGAGATGTGGTCTACTCAGGAGGAGACGGCCTTGTTCCTCTTCATGGGCTGCAGCTGTGACAACTGGATAACAGGATGGACATGAGTATGGGCGAGAGCTGGAAACAAAGCATGGAAATATCTCTCGTTTATTGTTCCTCTCTGAGTTTGGCATCCTTCCCAGTGTGTGTCCTGATATCTGTGGACATCTTCAAGCCCTTATCTAGCCTGGGCTGGTTTGTATTGTTTTTTACTCTTTATAATTTAAACGGCATTTCCTCCTTTTCGTAACTGCTTGTGTGGGAGTTTTTTTTGTCTCCAGTCAAGGATATTTGGAGCTTGAAAGCAAAGAGAAGGAATAAAAGGGGCTTCACCTGTTTTTTGTGACTGTGTTTATTTTGTATCCCACCCTGGGTCATCACACATAAGTATGAACCAGCCGCCAAGCGTCAGAATTTTGATCCCGTGATGATGGGGATGCCACAAAGGTGGTCATTGTGAAAAATGGTCCTAAGTCACTTTTTTTTTTCAGTGTAACTTTGAATGGTCACTAAATGAACTGTTGTAAGTTGAGGACTACCTGTGCTCTCCTAATGCATCTTCTAGCCCTCTAAAGAAAATACATAAATGCTGCTTTCCATCCTATATCTATAACTCAAAGTTTTCCCTTTTTTCTATGAGCAGACCTCTGCTCACAGACGCAACTTATTGTTTCCTGCTTCAGATGGAAAAATAACTGCCGTGTTCCCCCAAAAATAAGACTGGGTCTTATATTAATTTTGGCTCCAAAAGATGCATTCGGTCTTATTTTCTGGTTAGGTCTTATTTTGGGGAAAATACGGTACTTCTGTCTGGCTGACAGTCTTAACTAGGGCTTGTTTTTGGGGTAGGGCTTATATTATGAGCATCCTGAAAAATCATGTGAGGTTTTCTTTTCCGGTTGGGTTTTATTTTCGGGAAAACATGGTAGTTGCATTTGCCATTGGTACTTTCACAGTGAACTGCTAAGCAGAGACTGAGGCGCAGAATTGGAAAAAAAAACTCAATAACCAAAAAGAAATATATGACACTTCACCTCCCTTCCCATGGCAACTGGGCTTTTGAATTAATTCTGTTTGTTCCAAATCCTTTTTCTAACCTAACAATCCTGAGAATTTCTTCCCGAACTGCCCGTAACTACTTAGTCACCAAATACTTCTGCCCTTGAGGGGGAAACATTGCAATGTTGTATTTTGGATTTCACAAAAGCTCCTTGTTCATTCTGCTGTGCTGTTTTAGCTGTAGCATTGCTGAATGTCCGGTGACAAAATAAAGCACTTGCAGGAAATAACAAGGTTCTTTTTTTCCCATTTGCTTTGCTGTTTAGAAAAGTAATTTCTGGGCACTCAAACCAGGAACCTCATATCCATAATGGCCCATTGAAAATCTCATTAATACAAGCAAAATCCTGTGTGTTGGTCCTTTTAGCACTTACTTTTTCTTTTTTAGAAATTTTATTGACTTTTTATTAATCACATTTCTTAGTGCTTAATAAACATCATGTTGTCTGGGTATTTAATTTGCGTAACAATACTGGTTACGTTCTTAATCTCCTTTTTCCCAACCACTGATAAAATAGATCCCATGTTTGATAGTATTCTGTGTCTTCTTTCTGTATAATTTTCAAGGTCAATCTATCCATTTCTGCACAGTCTAGTATCTTCTTAATTATCTCTTCATCTCGAGTGTTTCATTTTTTCCAATGTAGCGCAAACATAACCCTCGCTGCTGTTGCCACACGTAACATTAAATACGTACTTTTCTTGTCTAATTTTCCCCGATATTATACCTAATCAAAACAGTTCAGGTTTACAAACCTACATGTTTCCCTGCCGTCTTTTTGAGCCTCCTGTGTACCTTTGCCCAAAAATCTAGCACTTACCTTTTCATTGCTCTTCCAAGAAGTCAACGTAGAATTGGATACTAGCATAGAGCACAGAGGTGTCACCAGGAAACCTGTGGCAGAAAAGGAGCTCAGGATCCTGGCTAGATCTTTATAAATCAGGAAAGACCATCCGCGAAGCTACAACTGGATAGAAATCAAATGGAAACCCACGTTTTCTCCTGCGGGAGCATCCTCACCCAGCCCTCCTCTCTCTCTCTCTCTCTCTGACGGCACAACTTTGGCACCGAAGCATTTCAAAAGGTGCTTCCCTCCGGATGGATTAGAAGCAAAAGGTCAGAATCTCTCCTTGGCTTCCCTAAAATAATTGAGATTTGTCTCCCGCGCATCTCGCAAAGACGGAACATTTCAAGGCCGAGAAGATCCTGCCTTTAAAAACAAACAAACCTTCCACGGTCTATTTTGAAATCATTCCCTCTGGGCCATCCCCGATCCCAACCTGGCTAATGACTGCATAATGTAAGCTGTTTCTGTTTAGGAAAGCGGAGAGGGAAGGGTGTGTGTGTGGAACACGCACACACACAGGAGAATGTGGCCAGATTGAGGCCGGAGCAGAGTGGGTTTTTAAAAAAAGTCCCAACTTGGGGGTGGACGCTGGGGAAGGTACGGCAAGATGGCAGGGGCACCGTCTCTCAGCATGGCACGGCCAATCGGGTTTTGAGGTAATTAACGATAAAGGAGAATATTTGTAGCTGAGGAGCGCCTGATGATGTGCCGCGCACTGATGTTACATAATTTGGGTAATGAAAAGTCTGCAAGAAAACAACCAAGCTCAGAGAGCACGAAGGATACTACAGTCCTCCTCCTCTTCCTCCATTACTATATCATCATCATCATCATCCACTTCCTCTTCTCTGTCAACCCCCTTCCCTTTTAGCACTGATGATGTTACCTAGTTTGGTTGTGAAACGTCTGCAAGAAAACAACCAAGCTCAGAGACCACCAAAGGCCCCTCATGTCACTCCCAAGCTACAAATAGCAATAGCGATAGCCCTTAGACTTATCTACCGCTTCACAGTGCCTTTCAGCTCTCTCTAAGCGGTTTACAGAGTCAGCCTCTTGCCCCCAACAATCTGGGTCCTCATTTTACCCACCTCAGAAGGATGGAAGTAGAGTCAACTTTGAGCCTGGTGGGATTTGAACTGCCAAATTAATACTACATTCTAACCAATGTGCCATAGAGGCACCTCAAATATTCTCTGTCTCTGTCTCTCTCTCCCC